GCCGCGCGCCGCCGGCGCCGCGCCAGCGCGAGCGCCGCGGCGGCCGTCGCCAGCGCCACGACGACGCCGGCGGCGGCGCCGATGCCGCCCTTGGCGGCCGGGCTGAGGCCGCTGCGCGGCGGGGGTACGTAGTGGTTGGCAAAGTAGTCTGCGTCTTGCTCCATCTTGACGCACGTTGAGACGTCGTTGGCCGCGACGCAGGCGGGGCCTGGGACGGACTTGCAGAGCTGCGGGGGGCCGGAGAGATCAGAGGGAGGGGCGGGGCGCCGGTTGGTGGGCCGGTCCAAAAGCGCCAAGGTCCGCTGAGCTGACAAGGCGGCAGAGGAGGGGCTGAGGGCGGCATTCACTGCACGAGCGCAGGCGCTAGCTGGTGTGCGCGCCCTAGGGTGGCACAGGTAGAGCAACCGACCGACCCTGCATGCGCAATGGCTGAGGGCAGAGAGCACGCACCTTGTAGGAGCCCCACTTTTGCACAGTGTAACCAGAACCTGCGTGACCGCGGCGGCAACATGGGTTGTGGGTGCCGTATCGGTGCCATTCAGGGACAGACCGGGCGCCCACATGCACCCTCCACAGACATGGCGGCGCCCAAGCACGCGCGTGCGTCCTGATAACTGCCACACACACAAGCTGGTGCGCTCGCAAGCACATGGGCAGGCCGCCTGCACCCGAGCGCGTGCTCCACACGCGCGTGCACATCTTCCCCCCCACAACTTTCTGCAACGCGAGCCGTGCGCGTACACACACACACACACACACACACACTCACATGCACACTCCCACTCTGCTCAACATGCACGCTCACCTGGCTGGTTCTCCCCGCCCGCCACCCTTGTCGAGAAATTTGAGTACAGGATGTTGTCGTAGTATGTCACGCCGTCCCACACCACCACCTTGGGAAAAGTGACATTGTTGACGCCAGGCACCAGGGGGTCCCGCTGGTACGCAAGCACGTTGGCCTCAATCAGGGGCGGGCAGCTGGTCTGAAGCTGCGGGGCGGGGGCGACGGGGTGCCGGAACAGGGGCGAGAGGGGCGGTTGGCGGAAGGGAGGCGAGCGCGGCCGGCCGGGGGGGTAGCGAACGGCCAGCACGCGGGGCGAGGACCAGCGCAGGTCAGGTGCGAGGGCGCAGGCAGGCGGGGCGTCCCATAGCCCCGTGTTTCAATTCTCAGGAGCTTCTGGATAATCAAGTCACAGGGTGTTGGGTGCAAACCTTTGCAAGATCATGGAAGTAGATGAGGCCGCCAGAACCTGGCGCCAGGATGTCCTGTGCGGATCCAGGTTGCAGTCAACGTGAGGGCAGGACACGGAGGGGCAGGCTGAGCCTCGTGCAGGCGCCGCGGCAACGGCGCCGCAAATGCGGTGCTCGCGGGCAGCACGCGCGGCGGTCGCTGTTGGGGCCGCGCCGCCGCGCCTCCGGTCCCGCTGCTCCCGGCAGGTCGCCCGCTGCTGGCGCTGCGGCAGGGTGTGGGCCGCGGGCCGGGTCTGTCCACTAGCCATGACCAGCTGCGGCCCTCTCCGCGCTAAGAGCACCCACCAGGTCTGCGCCGGCCCCATATCGCGTGTCCTTCAGGGTCACATGGATCAGAGACATGTTGACGCCTGCAGAACGTGCAGGGACGCGCGGTCAGCACGCGCTTGAGCGAGGCGCCCACAGCCTGGACTGGGCGGGCCGGCAGCACAGCCCCATCCGCCGGGGCCCAGCTGCTGCGCCTGCGGTCGCGTGCACCCGGGGGGCGCCGCTGGCTCCGCCCTCCCACCTGGAGCAATCAGCAGCCTGTTGGTGACCTCTCGGGCGTTGAAGTCGATGACCTGCGCGCACACGGCAGGCCGCGTCAACGGGCCGGCGGCGGGGGACGAACAGCTGGGACGGCGCCCCTGGTGACATCTGTGCGCGCAGCTGATGCGCGAGCTGCCGCTGTGCGCGCGCTCACGCGCCACCAGCATGGTTTGATCCCAACGCCCGCCCAGCGCACCCTGTGAGGCCCGTTTCGGTCCGATGTTACTGTCACGTTGTGCGCGAGCGTGTACGGCTGCTGCGGCCAGTCTGAGGTCTCGAACCGCACATCCTGATCCAGCACAATCACGCGTGCTGCGTCGTTCATGAGCGCCTCCACGAGTGCGCGGCCGGTCGAGACGTGCACCGCGCCCGCTGCGGCTGCCGAGACCACACCTACATCTGCTTTCGTTGAACGCAAGCAGCTAAGGGCCACCAGCGAGGCGAGGACGACCAACCCAGGTGTCACACAGAACTGGGGACGCGCCATCCCACAGCGTCACAGCATCACTGGTGCTTTCTCGACACTTTGACACGGTGACGTGACGCCAGCGACGGCACAACTCGAGCGCGCGGGCCCGTGCGGGAACCTGTCCGTGTCTTCAGAACTACGGCGCAGAGGCGCGGTTGGTACCCGAATTCAACGCACAGATGTATAGGATGTCTGCATCTTGGGCGAGTCACCCCACTGCCTATCACCGGCGGCCGACGCGTTCACAGCTTGAGCACCTGGATGAGATTCACAGCTGTTTGTTCTCGTTGTGTGGAATGTGGCGCGCTGTTACAGGGTGACACTGGTTGACTTTAACAGCTCAATGTTGGATGGCACAAACGCAACAACGTGAGCCATCGAGGTAATCATGGTGCGCTGTCGACACCAAACCTGCACAGCACATGCGCACACGTTCTGGGCTGCCTTGCTCACAAGCAGCAACGCGTTGGGCGAGTGTTCCCTTGCACATTCAAAACAGGACGAGCAAACGCGTGCTCAGTGCTGCTGCGAACAGCGCCACTTGCCTCGCCATGCCTCGCCAAGAGCCAAGTACATGTGCATCTGTCACACAAGCGTCACCAGAGGTGTGCAATCGATGCACAGATATGGACCGATTCGCATCATTAGGCACTGCGGGCGGGCAGGCTGCCAGGGGTTTGATGGGATATGGCTGGCAATGCCGGGTCAGCAGGGCGCGTTGTCCAGCGCGGGGGAGCGTTGCGCGCTCATCCTGGCCAGATCTGCAGTCCAGGCGACAGTCATCTGCAGGACTGTCGACCCTGACATTCCCCAAAAGCGCTCCCTGCAAGTAGCACGGTTGCAAACCGCACAGGATGCTTCCAGTGTGCGTGTGTGCCTGTGCAACCTGCTGCCCAGACCCCACCGGCACCGCATGCAAAAGAGTGTCTTTGGGCAGGCTTGCCTGGCTGTGCGCCAGCCAAGCCTGGTGGGCAAGCAGCACCTAAACAAGTACGTTCTGCGTGGGCCGCATGCACTCTTTCAATCACCATGGTAGCTGCGCCGCATCCCAGGATGGGCTGCAGGCGTTGCCCTGCGCCACGCCGGCTAGGGCTAATACATCCGCTGCATCCACATCGTATGTACAGACGCGCACACAAAGTGAACACCCTCAAGGTAGCGCCATTCCGATCCGCTCCAGACACGCGTCACGGCAAGTCGCGAGAATTTGCAGCGCCTGAAAAGCGGCGGCTGTTATCCCAATGTGGCGGGGAGTTCCAAAGTCCCCGAGCAGTGACCAGCACACCTTTAAAAACGCATCTGTTGCTGCACACCACCAAGCTACCTCACAGATGATTTAATGAAGACAAAGGGTCACCTCTCAGACAAAAAAAAATCACACACGTGAGATCCATCCCTCAACAAGCTAGAACTGTAACAAGTTCAAATCCTCACGTCAAACAGTCAAGCAGCTGCAGCATTGCGATGAGCTGCTGCAGCCGCTGCGCGGTCACGGCGCTCTCTGACGCAGCGCGCGTGCACAGCTCTGACGCCAACGCCGTGAGGCACGCATCCCGGACGCACGGCTGCGCCCAGCATGCCGCCGCAAGTGCAGCCACGGGCTGGGCCATTACAGCCGCAGGCCGCGCGTGTAGGGTGGCGGCCACCCGTTCTGAAAGGGATCGCACCGCCACCATGCGCTGTGCCGCTGATGCCCCTTCAGGCATATCAAGGGCGCCCCTCGCTGGCCCCGGCGCGGCCGGCGGCCCTGTTTGTTGCGTGCCATGTCTGCACTGCCCATGAGCCTGCCCATTCTCCATCTCGTTCGCCCTTGGTGGCTGGGGCCGACCACCGAGGCGGGCACAGAAGGCGCGCCACGACGGCTGCAGAAGCAGCGCACATGCAAACTCCTCCAAGCAGCCAGGCGGGCACGCAAGTTGCTGTGCGCCGGGAGCTGGTGTTGCTGTTGCTTCTGAGGTAGCAGCACCAGCAGCAGCAGAAGCAGCAGAAGCAGCGACGGGCGCTGCTGTTTCCACTCCTGGATTGTCGCGCACGCCTGCACCGCTCGCTGCCGCATGATCCAGCGCTGCCCCGACCGCAGTGGCGACTGCCGTGGCATCCTTTGTGCTCCCAGCGGAAGACCACACCACACCCGCCGCCGCTATGTGCCGCAGCCCTCGCGCCAAATCAAACCAGTAGCTGCGAAGCTCTGACAGGGGTCCAGGTGCAGGGGCACACCACCCGCCTGCAGACGTGAAACGCGCTGCTGCCGTCGCCGCATCCAACGGCCCCCCATGGAACCCGATGCTGCGACTGTCACGGCCGTCGCTCGGCTGAGCGTGCACGTGGTCGTGCATGAGGACGCTGCATGCAGCTGCAAGCAGCCTGGAGTCCACCTCCAGGTCTTCGAGGGCCCCTACAGCCTGCTCAGCTGCCACGAGCGACTCATGCAGCCGTTGCCGCTTTGCGCCATGGCGCTGCTCCTGCTGCTGATGATGATGCTCCTGCCCTTGCGGCTGCTGCTGCTGCTGCTGCTGCTGCTGCGCTCCATCCTCCCTACGGCAAGCCACGCGCACTGCAGCCGCAGAGAAGGCTGACAGCACAGTCTGCACAGCCAGGGGGCTCTCGCCCCAGCGCAACAGGGCCGCAAGCAGCACGCTGCGCCCCACAGGGTCTCCTGCCTGTGAAGTTTTTGGTGCGTGTTTGAGAAGCATGCGTATGGTGCGCATTCATAGCTAGGGAGTGGCCAGGAAAATCCATGTCAAATCTCTGCCAGGGGTATCAGATGCTTGCTTGCTGCCCTGGCTTGCGCTGGGGGGTTGCGACATGGGCGCACAAGCACAACGTCCATTCGTATTGTGCATGCCTTCCCACCTCAGCTGGCTGCACCAGCAATGCAGCCACGAAAAGCCGGTAAAGTAAGTCATACGTCGGCTTCAGCCTTACGTCTTGCACAGTTGCCAGCAAATCGCGCCCAATCTCAGATCGCTGCATGACAGACACTGCCTCAATGCGCGTGGAATGGGACAGTTGCATGGAATGTATGCATATCATTGCTTGCCTTTGTCTGTGCTGGATCGCTTTTGAACATTCCAGTCGCCCTGTATGTGGTCGTGCGGTGGTGACACAGCAACGTCACCCTTCCTTGCGTTGCCCTGCATGACGCTGCCATCCATGCCAGTAGTTGCTGAGCTGGGCGCTGTTAACTTCTAGCAGCAGTCCATTAGTGCAGTTGCGTGACCTACAAGTCCAGACGTATTGTTACAAAGGGTGAGGCTTTAACGCATAGCCAAGTTTTGATTTGAATTATGGTATCAGGGTCCAGGAAACTTCACGACTTGGTGGCGAAAGCAAGGACGCCGCAAGCGCCGCAATATGTTAGAATTGTGGGAAAGTGTGCATACATGCGGATAGCGGTGCGTAGGCTTAAACAGGCATGATCGGAGGGTGCTGTTGGCGGTGCCGCTGAGTGCAGCGCCGTAATCAGGCAGGTGCTTGCTGGTTTCCGTTTCGCGTGGGGGCGTGGAGCGCAGCGGCCAGCGTCAACGGATCGGGTGGACACGGACGGGGAAATCCAAGAGGCCCCAACCAATGCCGCAACCATCGCGCGCGGAAGTCCATCGGTCGAGATGCGACGCGGCAGAGATGCGCGCGCCAGGAATTAGGCCGGCTTGGCGGCCATGGGGTCACAGGTACCCGCGGGCGCCCCCGCACGCGAGTGTCGCGCCGCCGCGGCGCGGCGCAGCGGGGACCCCGCGGCGCCCGCGGCAACGGGCACAGTGTTTGAAAGTCTGATGACGCCGCATGCTTATCGGGACTCCCCAAAGGCCCCCACGGTTTGCGAAGGGGGGATGCGCAGCCCTTGCCTCGCTTGGCGGAAGCCCCAAAGCGCACAATTCGAACGCTCAGCCGCAGGGGCTGAGCAGGGGCAGCAAAAAGCAACGCTGCCGGAATCAACAAACAGATCCAATCCTGAAATGAAGTCAAAGCGTGCGCCGCATAGTGGGCTCAAGTGAAAAAAAACACTTGAGCAACCAGGCCAGCGGCGGCCCGACGAGGCGGTCTTTGCTGCGGCTGGCAGCTGATGCCGTGTGCGGCTCTGCATCAATAGGGGGCGCCCCGCCCTACCCCGCCC